CTCTCTGATGTGACATTGAGGGAAATACCAGGCCCCTTCCTCATCCAAGAAGACGACAGCTATAGTACCAGGCCCTAAATCTGGGCACACCCTTGCCTGAAGAGGAGGGAGAGTCCTTCCATAATTTCAGAGAAATTATCAGAGACTTTTTCCTCACAGCCAGACTTAAAGGATGAGTTGCTTCCCAATTCAGATATGGAACCTTTTATGGATGGGGGCTGAAGCCTAGAAGAGGAGGAACAGCCCCTTATATCAAGAGACTCAAAGCAACAATATATTGAGAAAGAGGACTGTTTACCCCAGGGGTCAAAGAAGTTAAAAACAAAGACCAAATGCTACAGGTCCTAGAAGCTCTCTGGGCCCCCAGCCGTGGATGAGGTGCACTGCCAGGCTCACACAAAGAGTCAAGGTAGACTGGAAAACCAATTAGCAGATTAGACAGCCAACAGCTGCCCTCTGTGCTGACACAGTCACGCAGTTCCCTCTGTTACCCCTCCGACCCCCCACCAAGGTATGTTTACACTCTTTGTGCTCCTAGAACTCCCCTCACAGAAGCCAGAAGAGAAGGAAGAAGAAGGGGCTGCTGAAAACCTGGAGGGCGGGCTGAGAAACACAGCGAGGAAAATAGCAATTCCTGAGATGACCACTCCCAGCCTAGTCTGGCAAGCTCATGAAACAACCCACTTGGGAAAACTGCCCTACAAGAATTGTCGCTCCCGGCGGTGGTGGCTCAGGCCTTTAATCCCAGCACTCGGGAGGCAGAGCCAGGTGGATCTCTGTGAGTTCAAGGCCAGCCTGGTTTACAAAGTGAGAAACCCTGTCTCGAAAAACCAAAAAAAAAAAAAAAAAAAAAAAAAAAGAATCGTTGCAAAGAAATTTGGTAGTTGCCAACACTGACCCAGCAAGCTAGCAAAGCCTGCCTGCAGTGTGCTCGAAATAATCCAAGCAGGGAACCAAGGCCCACATGCCGACAGAACCAGGGGTCCTTCCTACCCATTTAGACAATTAAAAGTGGACTTTATTGACATTCCACCCAGCAGAGGGGACTGATAACTTGCTGGTTATGGTGTGCACTTTTTTCTCCCCCCAGGCTGGGTAGAAGCCTTTCCTACCCTCACAGAGAATTAACTTGAAACTTGCACACGTGGTATACTACCTTCAACATTCAGGTGAAGTTGAGAGGATGAATAGGACTTTTAAAATGACACTGGCCAGACTGCCAAGAAACAGACCCCTCTGGGCCAAAAACTCTGCCACTTGTACTTACAGTTGAGGGTTTGTTGTGCATGTATATGTGCAGTCACTATCCTTGGAGAGCGTGTCTGGCTATCCACCTCCATTGCTTCCGAAGGACTCTGGGAACCTCCGAGAGTATGGACACACCTGCCCGTAGCAGTTCTTGAAAAACTTGGCTGACACAAGACAAAAAGTGTGTCAAGTTGCAAGTATCAAGCCATGCATATGTCACATTCACACCAAGGCTGCTATGGACCTGAGCCAGGCGTGGACTGTGAGAGCCGAGCTAGACCAGCCTCTGATCTCACGACTTCGGAGTGGCGACAACAACTCTGCCTTCTGATAGTACTTCCTGATTCAGCGGATGTGCATCCACGCACCCCCCACTCAGCCTCTTTGATCCTGTTTAAAAAATTAGTCTGGAGGGCAACCTTGCAAGAATGGTGTCGTGGAAGCTGGGCTACATGCATTACAAATATTTCTGCATACAGCAGTGTAGACATTTATGGTGACAGAGACTCTTCGAGACCCCCCCCCCCCCCCCCCCCCCCGCCCCCGAGCATGCATGTGACCTGTGGTTTTGCAGTTACAGGCATAGCAGCTAAGGTACTTAACGTAGCTGCATGTATGCTACTCCCATAGATGTCAGTGGTACAAATACACCCAGGAGTCATCAATCTCTATGAGAAGCTAGCCGATGCAGAACTATAGACTGCGCATGCGCACCGTCGGGTAAGCACCACCCCGCTCTATCCCCAGCCTTCCTTCTACGTGCACTGTTTGTGCAATCTCTGCACCCTGCCTGTGCAATACAGTGCAAATATACCATAATTTTGTTGCTGGAACCCATTTAGTCTAAGCCTGCAGGTATAGTGGGGAAGGGAGCTTCAGAAAGCATCCCCAGCCTACCATGCACGGCAACTGCTGCGCCCAGGTGCCTCTGGGAAATGAAGTCCAAGGCTTGATCTCTTCACGAGAGGATTTTTTTTTTCCTTCCCCCTTTTCTCTGGGCCACAGGTTTCTCTGTGTAGCCCTGGCTGTCCTGGAACTTGCTCTGTAGATCAGGACAGCCTCAAACTCAGAGATTCGTCTGCCTTTGCCTCTGCCTGTCAAGTGCTGGGATCAGTGGCATGTGCCACCATTGCCCTGTCATTTTTTTCCTTAAAAAATATGTATTTCTTATTTCACGTGCTAAGGTGTTTTGCCCGCATATATTCCTGTGTGAGGATGTCAGATCTCCTGGAACTCTCTACTCTCCATACTGACAATCCTCCTGCCTCAACTTCTTGGGTGCAAACCACCTCACTCCCCACCCCGTTTGCAGTGCCAGGCCAGTGATTATCATCAGGTTCTGGGAAAGAAGCATGTCTCCTACGGTATAAGGTATAAACATGATGTTTGGCTAGTGAAGGGGCTTGCTGCCAAGCCTGACAACACAAATTTGATCCCCTGGACCACATGGTGGAAGGAAAGAACCAATTCCTGCAAAAACAAAACAAAACAAAAACAAACCAAGAAACAAAAACAAAAACCATACACCAAGCAAGACAGAATTCACTGGCAGGGTACAGCGGTTTTCATAAGCTCTCACCTTAGTGTTACCTATAATTGTCATGGATTCCTTTAAAAAAAAAACATATTTATTTATTTGAAAGTTTTTTTTTCCCTGTCCTTGAACTCACAGAGATCCCCCTGCCTCTTCCTCCTGAGTGCTGAGATAAAAGGCATGTGCCACCACTGCCCAGCTACTCAAAAAATTTTAAAAGCAATTAATTTTATGTGCATGTGAACGTGTATATGGGTGTGTGGTGCTCAGAGGAGAGTTTTTGGGAATTGGTTCCTTCCTTCCACCATGTGGGTCCAGGGGATCAAATCTGGGTTGTCCGACTGGCAGCAAAACCCTTCACTAGCTGAACCATCTTGCTGGTCCTGTATTCCTTTTATATACTGTGACTTAGAGCAGGGTTTCTCAACCTTCCTAATACTATGACCCTTTAATACAGTTCCTCATGTATTCACAATTTTACGGTGACTCCCAACCATAAAATTATTTTGCTACTGTTACAAATCATATTGCAAATATCTTTGGAGATAGAGTTTTGTCAAAGGGGTTGTGACCCACAGGCTGAGAACCACTGATTTAGAGTCTTTTATTCATTTCTATGATTAATTAGCAGGACTTAAGACTCCAGAAACACAAGCATGCTTAGATATGTATAGGAAATAAAAGAACGCTTTGGATGGTGATATAATGGGTAATTTTGACTAGCTAGCCTCAGTACCCACCCTAGCCTTTTTTTTTTTTTTTTAAACTTTTTGATATAGAGTCATTTTAAAGTTGTTCTGGCAGGATTTGAACTTGTGATTCTCCTGCTTTGGCTTTCCTTTGGCTGGAAGGAGTGAACTGACTCCTACAAGTTGTCCTCTGACCTCCACATGCGCACCATGTCTGTGCCCATACACATACACACACATAATGAACAAGATAGATATAACAAAAGCGTCCATATCTGGGGGCTGAAGAGATGGCTCAGTGGTTAAGAGTGCTCATTGCTCTTCCAGAGGACCCTGGTTCGATTCTCAGCACCCACATGGTGATTTACGGTTGTCTGTGACTCCAGTTCCAGGGCATCTGACACCCTCACACAGATATATATATATACCGGCAAAACACCAATGAGCATGAAATCAAAACAGATGTCCATATCCATATCCTAGTGTATGAGCCTGGGAACATGGCAAGGAGTTAAGGCCACAGATGGACTAACTTAATAGGCTGCCAGTAGAAAGACAGACAAATCACATACCGTTATCCTGGTGGGCTCAGTGTAATTACAAACAGCATGGACATTAGACTAAGCAATGTTTGAGTGAGACAATGTGAGGGGACAGGCCACGAACTCGCCTTTGATAGCCTGAAAGATACAGAAAGATCGGAGCCACATAACGCTGAAGGCTTCTAGACGAGCGCAAGGCAGGGACAGGACACTTTGCAGAATTTTAAGAGGGCAGCCTTAACGTTTTGGCTTAGTCCAGTGAGACCCACTTCAAACTTCTGAGCTCTGGTACAGCCGATAACAGCCTGTGCTTATACCGTGCAACAGTAAAAAAAAAAAAAAAAGAGACAGAAGACCTACGAATGAACCGTCAGTCGGAGTGAAACACCCTTCCTTTGAACATCCTTTCGCCCCATCTCAGCAAAGCTACCTCTGCAGACTGAGCCAAGACGTGCAGACAGACAGGTGTATTTGGTGTGTATACAAGGCCACCTACCCTCCCCCACAGAATAAGCAACACAGTATAAAGAATGGGAGAGAAATTTTTACCAGCTATCCATTTGACAGAAGAGTGATATCTAGAATAGACAAAGAACTAAACCAAACAAGAAAAGAAAAAGCCAAAAAAAAAAAAAAAAAAAAGCCAGCCAAAGAGCAGAACAGAGAGCTCTCCCAACAAATTACCAATAAACATTTAAGGGTTCATCATCCTTAGCCATCATGGAAATATGAATTGAAGCCATTTTGTGATTCCCTCTTACCTCTGTCAGAGTGGCTAACATGTTGGATACAGTAGTTACAAAAGATCTGATTAAAATGGAATTTCTAAATAATTCTAATTCCTCGAATGATTTTTTAAAGACAGGGTCTCTCCATGTAGTCCTGTCTGGCTTGGAATTCACTTTGTAGACTACCCTAGCATTCAGTTTACACCTGCTTCTGCACCACACTCAGGTCACCTTGATTTTTTTTTTTTTTTAAATAATACAAGGGAGAGTGTGAACTCAGTCCCTCACTACCACAAATTATGCAGTCGAGTTTCCTGCATTTCGGGAAATCGCAGGGGTCAGCACATCTGGAGTGCAATGGAGAAGGTTGCCCTGGAAAAATCACCTTTGTGATCATGGTATCTCTCCTGCCAGGTAAGTATCACCTTGATTTTTGGAGCAGGGTCTCTCACTGGGAACTACACTGGCTGAAGGGACCCTAGCCCACTCGAGCATGTGGCTCTGGCAGGCCTTGTCTTTTTCCCCAGTTCTGTCTGTCTTGCTAAAAACTGTTAGATTACATTCCTAAAGCTAGCCAGCAAGGCCTATTATCTTATTTGGACACTTCCTCCTCCTGAGGCTGACTGTCAAGGTCCAGTTATCAAAGTATTGAAGTCCATCAATCAAAAGCCCCCTTTGGCTCACCTAATTAACATGCCCTGTCAAAATATACCACACATCCTAGCCGATTCTAACATAGGCCTACACTTCTTTCTTCTTTTTCTACAAGGTCATTGACCGCTGTTTTTCTGCCCGAGTCAGAAAGCAGCCACTTTTAACTTTTCCTCCCCGCTTAATGAAGGATCTCTCTGTGAAAACAGGTGTTTGGATGTGGTTTGTGCCTAATCCGGGGTCAGAGAGGGAACGGGTCTCCTTTAAGCCCCAACCTTGTAGGTTTAAGGTATAAAATTAGAATGCAAACTGGATCTGAGATCAAAGTCTTTCAGGAGCTATCCTGGCTTCAGTCCACCCGTGACATCTCTTCTCTTCCACCGTCATTAATGTCAGAGTGCTTATTCCTGAAAGATTCCACATCATTGCTCCTACCTTGCCCACATTGTGACAGCATGCAAGTATTTTAGACGGCACCATCTCTCTTGGCCACATTTTTCTGTAAGGGAAGAAGAGGAAAAAGAAGAGTGCACAGGACGATTTGAAAAATTTCCAAGCGATTCAGATACTCTTATTCACAGGCTTGCCGTGGTGACGGATCTGCACATGCGCAACACATGTACTACGCATGCGCACAGTCCCAATGCCAGATAAATTCACCTCTAAGGTTGGCGACTACTCCATAAACCTGTTTCTGCTTACCCACAAACTGTCCTGCGTATGTGCAAACACTGTGACTAAGAGGCACATCGTGTGAAAATATTTCTCAGTTTGCCCCCTAACTTTTCTAGGAAAGACCAGCATGCAGCCATGGAAACCGGGGTATAACTCCCCAGCATGCATTTCACAGCAACAGCTGATGCCTCTGGGAAATGAAATCTAAGAGTGTTTGACGCCACCGCCGTTTGTCCCAGGTTTGAAACCTAACAAAGAGGTGCTTGGGTCCTGTACTGGGGGTGGGTGGTGGTGGTGGTGTACAGGTCTTCTTTATTTTTTTGGATGAATAGGGGTTGGTTTGATATCAACTTTGTATGGGTGTTTTGTATGTATGTACATCTGCACCCTTTGATGTCTGAAGAGGTCTGGGACTGGAGTTATGGACAGCTGTGAGCCTTTACGTGGGTGATGGAAATCGAACCCATGTCCTGTGCAAAAGCAGCAAGACTTTTAACAGAGATCTCTCTAACCCCCCAGCCCCAACAGATTTTATTTTTTCCAGACAGGGTGTCTCTGTGTAGCCCTGGCTGTCCTGGAACTCACTCTGTAGACCAGGCTAGCCTTAAACTTAACAAAATCCGTCTGTCTCTGCCTTCCCAGTACTGGGATTAAAGGTGTGCACCACTAAGCTCAGCCTCATTTTATTTTTATTCTTTTGAGACAAGGTTTCACCCTGTAGGTCTTGTTGCCTTGTACTGGCAAGCTTCTTGCTTCAGCCTCCTGGTTGCCAGGATCACAGGAGGGCATCTTCACCCCAAGTTTGGAGTGTCTGACTAGGTTGTAAGGCTCTCTCCATGACTGAGTCTGCACTGAGCACAATACCAGGCTTTCCCCCTAAACCATGGTTTATTTAATTTTCCTTTCTTTTCTTCTCCTCTCTCTCTCTCTCTCTCTCTCTCTCTCTCTCTCTCTCTCTCTCTCTCTCTCTCTCTCTCTCTCTCCCTCCCTCCCTTTCTCCTTCCCTATTTTGGAGACAGTTTCTCTGTGTCACAAACATTCCTCCTCCTCCTCCTCCTCCTTCTTGTTTTTTTTTTTTTTTTTTTTTTTTTGAGACAGAGTTTCTCTGTTTAACAGTCCTGGCTGTCCTGGAACCCTCTTTGGACACCAGGCTGGCCTTGGATTCACAGAGATACACTGGCCTCTGCCTCCCGAATGCTGAGGTTGAAGGTATGGACCACCAAGCCAGGCAAGTGAGATGCTTTCAGTTCAAGTAATTTGTGCTTCACTTTTATATGTAAATGTACAGGTAATAATATACACAGCATAATTTTCTCTTGTGATTTTTTTTTAAAAACTAAGACAGTTGAAAATTCACATCTCGTTGTAAGACATACAACAGAGAGATAATGGTATGCCCTTACTTGAGTTATTTCAATGGAGCCTTCTTGTAAAACCATAGTATATCACACCGAGGTCAGTGGCATCAATACAACCATTGCTGTTGTGTAAATTTTCCAGAGAATAACTTTGAATATGAAATCTTACTGCTGGTAACTAAATAAGTCTGTGTATGTAAAAGCGTAGTCGACAGTCACTACATTAGCTGAGAAAATGAATTATGACATGACAGATTATAAGCCTGGAGAGACAGCTCAGCAAGTGACAGCAGGTACATGCCCCCAAGTCCAAGTTTGATATTCACGATCCAAGTGGTAGGAGGAGAGAATTTATTCTGAAAGTTGTCCTCTGACCTCCACCAGTTCCCAATGTCAGGCTCACACACATAAACACACTAAATAAGTAAATGTAATTTTAAGAAGTCTATATATAATTGGCGTGCTGATATCTTAGTGGAATTAAGACTCTATGCTGTGGTTTGACTTTCAGAAGGTGTGTCTGAGCCATGGGCTACTTAAACTATTTCCTTACTGGGAAAGACAGGATAAAAATTACAAAAACATCAGTGTCCACCACTCCCACCCCCACCTTTTTGGGAGGGATGCACAGGCTCTCTGTGGACTCAAGTGGAGCTTGTCTACATACGCTGTCTCGTTGTATTTTGTAGGGAGTGGAATCAAGTCCTGATGCAAGCATTCTATCGCACACTCACATGCACAATGTGTCTCAAAATCATAAAGTAAAATAGGCAAATATGTTGAATATTCCTAATTGAAATATGCAAATCTCCAAATGCTCCAGATTTTTTTAGTATGCAGATGTCAAAATGGAAATCTACCCAACTATCTCCAAGTCTGAAAAATCCCAAATGCAGACAGGTTGTTCCTAAGCCTTTTAAGTCAGGTGGTGGTGGCACAAGTCTTTGATCCCAGCACTCTGGAGGCAGATGTTGGAGGATCTCTGTCAGTTCGAGGCCAGCCTGGTGTACAGAGTGAGTTCCAGGACAGCCAAGACTACACAGAGAAACCCTGTCTCGAGGAACAAAATACAAAACCAAACAGACAAACAAAGGGATAGTTAAACTGCACGGAGTAAATTAATATAAATTAGCCGTTATTGTTGAGATCAGTAACATGATACATTCTGTAATTCTTTTATTCTGAAGAGAGGGTCTCCTGTATCCCAGGCTGTCCTTCAACTTGCTATCAAGTAGTCAAGGACAACCTTGAAATAGTGCTGTGATAAATACGGCAACATAGGTCACTCCTCCCATCCGCAACCCTACAGTCCCAGTGAATTCACGAGAAATAGCAGAAAAATCCCTGCAGAGGAGCATCCAACAAATACTTCACCTCAGAAACTGTGGAGGCCACTGAAAACGAAGTCAGCACAGGCAGGAGGGACCTGAGCGCTGCGACAACAGAGTGCTATGTGGTGTCCTGGAACAGACAGAGAATGATAGAGAAACACTATGGAAAATGGCGTAAGTGGGTGAGCTTTGTGTGTGCATTATGTGCACATGTGTGGTACATGCAAGTGCTTTTACCGTCACAGCCATAACCTCAGCTTATGGATTTTCTTTTTTCTTCCCCCCCACCCCCCAGCTCAGGACTGAACCCTGGGCCTTGCACTTGCTAGGCAAGCGCTCTACCACTGAGCTAAATCCCCAACCCCTATGGATTTTAATTAAAGATATATTAAGACAGGATCATTATCACTCAGTTCCTGTCATATTCCCTAGCCACTGCTAAATTACCCTTGCTCAGTAAATAACGCCCTAATTAAATGCAATGAGCCTTCCCTCCGAACAAAGTTCCACAAAACAAAACAAAACAAAATAAAACAAAACAAAACGACATGAAAATAGCTGAGGGGACTTGTCAGAAAGGAGGGGGATAAGAGGAAAATGGGGCAAATATGATCAATATTTACTAAATTGTAAAAGAACAAATACATGATTAAAAAGATTGGCTTATTAACAAGCGCCTCCTGCTTGTCTATTAATAGAGAAAACTGGGTGCAGCATGTTTAAGAGCTTTCTGGGCTATCACTGCCATTTTTCTACCGAGCTGTCACATCCCTCTGAGTCACGAACAAGTACCCTGTAGTTGGAAGAGGAAGTAAAAGGAAACAGAACTAACACTCACCTGTATTCACTTAAGAAGCCTGCTGACACCTGCTGAGATGGTACTGGGACATAATTCATAGTTAAGGAGACACAGCCAAACCAGAGTCCACGTGCGTACACTTTATAGTTGCTCACTACAGAGATGCTCACACAGCCTGACCCCATTTTCCCCACAGAGAGAGCTCACATCAAGCAACAAGACACAATCCCAGGTGAGAGTGTACCAGTTATCCAGGTACTCACAGCACAGACGTCCATCCTGGGAAGCGGTAGGGACTCATCATTCAGTTTGCGTCTCATATGCCTCCAGGCTGCTCCAGTCCATTTTCTTTCTTTCTTTTTTTTTTTTTTTTTTTGAGATAGAGTTTCACGGATCCCATCTCTCCAGGAGTTCATCTTGCTTGGTTTTTTTCTTTCAAGATCCTCTCCTTTACATAGAGTCCCCGCGGAAGACCGTTCCAGATTTCATCTGAGGACTGAACAATTTTCCGTCCAGAGACCGCTTTCCTCTCCTGTTCCCGGCACCAGACCCTGCGGCATGGTTTTAGATAAACCCTGATGGCTGCCAGGTAGGACCTGTTTTTTTTT